ATCCAAGCATTCCAGATAAAAAATAGAGGGTGCCTTTCAGTGAGTGAGGATGTTCTAAAGAACAAGAGTTCCAGTATCAGGAAGAATGAGCTTACGCCCTGACATCCCTTCGGAAGAAGTGTGGATAGGCCAGTGAAGCTGGAATTAATGGATTCGTAGGGGTTTTAATCAAGACACACACATTCTTTCAAACCTAGGATGTTTATCAAGGCAGATGATTTTATAACTTAGTCCGAAGCAATGATTTAGTGGTGCCCAAAATGGACTCCATCCGTTTTTCCTTGCTGGCTTGACATCTTTCTCAGACCACTGCTATTATACCGGCATGTTCCCCTTCACACGTTCTGTCTCTTTCTGTACTCTAATCCTTTCTTAAAATCTCTAATTTACCCTTCTACTTTAAGCACAAAGTTTTTAGACCTCAAAATGTTAAAATCCATATATCGGTACATCTCTGTCTTTTCTGCATCTCTACTTCCACCATCAAATGTGAAATTGTAAAACTTCTCGAATCAGAGAAACCCCTTTGTGGACTTTTCACAGGGCATTTTCTACCGATGGCACTAAATCGATAGCCACTCAGTACAACTGATCGTGGTCCCATAACTCTCTTGACCAATAAAACAGTAAAGAATGGTATTGTTTTCATCTTATGGCTCTGGAAAGGAGGCCTGGGGCCATTATTTGACCCAGCAGAAGGGACATTTAGAAGTTAGGGAGATGCCGCTGAATGATGTCGTGTTTAATCTCCCCAAAGGCACCCAAGAAAGCTAAGAAGAGGGCAGAAGGTGCCAATTCTAACGTCTTCTCCATGTTTGAACAAGCACAGATCCAGGAGTTTAAGGAGGTATGTCAACAGAGGCGGTAAAATGTTTTACAAAGAGTTTGTATTACAAATCCAAAGGAGCAGAATACCCTGACCCAATAACATGGAAAACGTAGGCAAAATGCTAACATCCTCTTGGCTTCTGCTCTACCTGCATAATTAAGAGTCCGTATTTGAATTTCAGCCGTACTGCACGATCTAAGGCCTGAGGAACTGGACTCTCAGCCCATCAGGTTTTTTTAAAAGCGTGGAAGTGTGTGCTTAAGTCCTGGATGATTCTACATTCTTGTAGATCAAAGGCTGTAATAACCAATTTAAAAAGACTTTATTGGAGCTTAATCTGAAGCCTGGTCTTAGTCCTGGAACCTAGCTGAAATGCCCTAGCTGAATACTGCAGCATAAAGTCTGCCAGATTCCTCGTGCAATTATAATTCCAGCCATGGAAAGTTCATTTATTTGATTTGATTTGATTTTGCCTCCTGGGTCAATGGTATAAGATTGAATTGATTTTTATCTTTTCCTAAACCTTACGCATTCCCCAACAGTCTGGAGGATCCCAGAAAGACCCTGAGTTCAATGATGTATCTTGCATAATGGCAGGATAGGGCTGTGGAAAGATTTCAAAAGAGGTATTTGAAAGGCTGGGCACACACTTCTGTGTGATGACAGCTGGGAGCGGCTTCAAAAGCGACGGTGGTCGATCTAACAGCAAGACAAGGTACTTCGTACACGCCACTCATGCATACCAGCCATTGCCGTTTCTCCCCTTTCAGGCTTTCACCATCATGGATCAGAACCGCGATGGTTTCATTGACAAATCAGATCTGAGAGATACATTTGCAGCACTAGGTAAGCCAAGAAACGCCTTTACATTATGAAAGTAATTAGTAATTAGTAATTATTATTACTATTAATTACTATTAGTAATTTATACAGAAGCCCATTGAGAAAAAATGTTTCCATTATCATTCCTTTCTCCCTGCCCAAAATCTTAATATCTAGTCAAAATTAGACTAAGATGTAGACCACGAGAAATAAGAAATCCAGAAATCCAGAACTCTGGCTTGAAATAGAATGGATAGTTCCAATTTTGACAGCGTTCTAGGTCAAGGTGATTTATATCTTTCCAAGCCAAATGCAGCTAGTATGGATGATTGGGTATCTATGAGTTTCTCAATGTTTGCAGTTTTGGCAGTAAATGTAAGAAATTCTCCATTCTTCTGCATTAGGCAGGGATGGGAGAGATGCTACTTGTCTGCTGCTTGCTTGTCAGGTAAAGCAGACAGAAAACTCCACCAGATGAGCTAATTCTACTTTAGTGTAAGGCTACATTAACAGAATTTTGCAAGACTGAAAGTCCAAAACTTCCTTCCATCACTTTTAATTGCTTCATTCATTAGGGCAGGTCCTTCCTAAATTTGTTCCTCCGACCACTACGCCACTGGGGGCTCCTCCTTCTCTTCTCTGACCTTCCCCTCATCCCCCAAGGTCACCCACACTTTGCATTGACTCAAAATAGCTACGCTTAGCACAATCACAATAGGTCTCTCAATATTTTAAGGGATTCCTTAGGAGAGATTCTTTCTGCTCCCTGCTGACGGGTTGGGTTTGGTTTGGTTTGGCCTCCTTTAGGGCGTCTGAATGTGAAAAATGAAGAGCTTGATGCCATGATCAAAGAAGCTCCTGGACCAATTAACTTCACCGTGTTCTTGACAATGTTTGGAGAAAAGCTTAAAGGTAAGATTGGAAGCTACGACTCAGTTGCAAACAGTGGGTGTCTTTGATAAGATGTTCAGGCACCCACCCACCCACCCAGACATCTGTATCTGTATCTGTATCTAATCTATATCTATCTATATTGATATCTCTCTATCTCTCTAATAAAAACAATCCCATATAAAAACAAGCAGGATAAAAAACAAAGAAGCAAAGGTACATTTAAAGTGATGTGCTGGATTCCCAATCCCCCCAGAGAGCTTCCTTGTGTGGCTCAAGGAGGGTTTTATTCTGGTTCACCTGCCCGTTTATTTTCTGCGTAGCCTCAGCCTTCCCACAAACATTGCAAGAAGGAGCACTTTTATAAAGGGTTCAGCTTTCTTAGACTTTCTGTCCATCCCCTTTTATTTCCTTTTAATTTTCCAGGAGCAGATCCAGAGGAAACCATTCTAAATGCATTTAAAGTCTTTGATCCGGACAGCAAAGGCTTAAAAGCAAACTAGTAAGTATCTCTGGAGCTTCTCCGCTTAAAATGGTCAGAAGATCCCCAGAGCCCTTTCTGCTTCTCTTCAGCCCCTTAATAAGCATTTGTTTAGCATCACCTCTCTTTGGACAATCTGCCGTGATGCAAATGTACAATCAGCCACCCGCCCACTTATCCTAAAAGCAATTAAGATCTTTTTGGTCCATCCCCGTGTGCTCCAGCCTGAATTTCAGCAATGAGAAAGCTATCACTTCTATTCTTCGCATCGAGCGATGGGTGGAATTGAGACTGATATTCCTTTGCATCTAATCCGGTTTTTATTTTTCAGCATTAAAGAGATGCTCATGACGCAAGGAGAACGGTTTTCAAAGGAAGAGGTAAGAGAAATTTCTGAATCATTCGGCGGCCTTTCTTGGGAATGCAATTTGAGAGTGCAGCCCATTGGACTGTCTTCAAAATGAAGATTTGCAATTTTAGCAAGAGCCGCTGAGGTATTAAAACTCAAGAAGAAATGCTCTGGCTTCTTTGTTCTTCCAGGTAGACCAAATGTTTGCAGCCTTCCCTCCAGATGTGACCGGCAATCTTGACTATAAGAATTTGGTGCACATCATCACACATGGAGAAGAGAAAGATTAAGAACTAGTGGTAGGCCACTCGGTGTGATGACAGAAGCGATACCTTCTCTGGCCAGCTAAGCTGGGCTGTTGTGTCTTCCCTGTGTGTTGTCATCCTCTTGGCAGTCCCAGCCCTTTGTCCTATCTGTACAAAGAATGCAGCCGTGTCTGGAGAAACCTATTTCTAAAATTGCCTTTGTATTGAATTATTCAGAAAATCTGAGCAGCCCTTGATGAATGATTATGGATGAGGGAATGGAATAAGCTGTGCTCACAGCAAGCCACGTGTTTCTCTGCTGATGCCAGAGCAGGGTGCGTTTCCCACTTAACACACAAGGCTGAGAGGCTGTCCAACAACAGTACGTGGAGCTGAGCAGGAGGAGGCTCTGCCAACAGGACCACAAATTTGCCACTGCTGCTCTAGCCATTTCTGAAGAGCAGGGGTGGGGAACGATGACAACTTTACAACTTTACAAAGTGGACTTCAACTCCCAGAATTCCTGAACCAGTCATGCTCAGGTTAGGTTAGAGAAAAGCAAGATTCCAACTTAGCAATAAATAAAAGACACCACACAGACACACATTGCACAACCCAATGACCCCACATCTTGAAAGAGAAAAGCATGAAAATTGGGAAAAGGCATCTCGTCTGATGTTCAACTGGAGGAAGGCATGGGTACACAAAAAGTTGGCCTACAGGTGTTATCTAGGTTTGCTCACAAAGTTTAGGTCCCAGTCATGTATGATGAGAATCCCCCTGGAGATTCCCTCTTTTGATCATCCAGGAGCAACACACCAAAGCAGAGAAAAATATGCCAGGTGCGCACCTTCTAAAAGCAGCTAAGTAATCCTATTGATCGAATAAGGCAGCCATTTTCACCAGGGTATGGAAATTTGCTAGGAACCCAACACATCTATGGAGGCTTCTTACCTATTATAGCAATAGCACTTAGACTTATATACCACTTCACAGTGCTTTAGAGTCCTAAGCAGTTTACAGAGTCAGCCTACTGCCCCAACAATCTGGGTTCTTATTTTACCGACCTAAGAAGGATGGAAGGCTGGGTCAACCTTGAGATGGTCAGGATCGAACTCCTGGCAGTGGGAATGCAGAGTTAGCTTGAAATATTGCATTCTAACCATTGTGCCATCACAGCTCTATTGATCTTACTCACCTACTCTCTCTCTTAATTTCCCTCCATTGAGTTGCATTTCTATTTCCTTCTATCTCCAGAGTAACCCCTTGAAAAGGTCAGTAGGCACATCTCATCTCCTGCCGTTCATGGAAATGTGAACCCAGGATCCCTCTCCCTCCCACTCCCCCAATATGTCAGGTACTACATTAGTGTGAATCTCTTACCCAATGGAAGCACACGACTGGAACCACACGATTGTCCTTCTGGGTGCATGTAAAGTTGTCCATCATCTGCTCTTTCCAAGTAGCTGGTCATGAAGTCAGCCGTAACAGGCAGGCTAACCTAACATAGGTTGAGAGACCCATCCAAAGCCAGTGGCTGCAGAGTTTGTGTTGAGCGTCCAGGATTGCAAAACCAACTTTCCAATGACTACTAGCTTGGTGGTCTACTTTTGTGAGCCGGCCAACCTGAAATGCTCCAGCTATATTGGGATTACAACTCCCAGGCTTTTCAAGAACCACACACAGGTGCAATCTTTAAGGCATGGCATTTGCTCTCTGTTAACATGCTGTGAGATAACACAGCTCATTCACAGTGGTCTATAAATAGTAAAACTGTCTGGTACCTAGAAAAGCACAAACGATAAATCCGAGTTATGATCCTACTTCAGTAACTCCACACCCCCCTTTTCATCCGCTCTGCCTCTTAGCATTGAAAGGACCGAAGGGCATTTTTCCACTTTACATCTTAAAATGTCTTATTGAGGTGGTCTTCTGTTTTTTAAGATGTAAGAAATAAGAAAATTAGAAAGGCTTAAGATCTGATGCGTAACTGGTTTATAATGAAGCCATATCCGTATAACATCAACCCTAGGAAGAACATAAGGCAAAGCTTGGTTGACACTAAGCCATCGTGGCTTATTTAGGAGACTCTGCACCCCTGCTGACAAGGATCAACATGAGGGACCAACATTAATTCAAGAATGAACTGGAGGTCATGGATTCCATTACAGGCGCTTCACCTCTTTTCTCTCCATCTGATCTTTGCAGAGTCCTTCTGTATGCGCAGCCCAGAGGCCTTCTTGGGCCTTGCTCCTTTTTATTGGAAAAAATGAGGTGCCAGAAACATATCCCTTAATCTTCTTTGGCTAATAGAACCTGCCAAACCAGGGAAATGGCTAGACTCTGCAACAGCCGCACAGTAAAAATATAATAACAACAGAATCAATAACCGTGCCAGGTGTTTCAAGGGCAAGGAGGAAAGTCACCTTTACAGGGTGCTAGAGGGGGAAAAAATAGCCCCCGCTGAGGCTGTAGGAGTCGTTTTAAGTGTTCTGCAGCATCTTTGTCAGAAGAGAGGATGTCTTAGTACATCCGAGGAATTTGTTCTCCTGGAAAAAAGGTGAGAAAATGGTTTAACTTCCGCAGTAGCAAAACAAAAACCTGATGCAACCTGAATGCAGCCCTCATCAAAGTGGGTTTCTCTGTTTGTGTTGGACTTTCACTTCTCTCTTTTCAAACTTTGATGGCTGGAGGATGATGTCCAATTAGATATTTTGAGGGCATATATAAAAAAAAGAGAGAAATTTGAGGAAACCAGAAAGACGAATGCAAGCAAGACAGCAAGCTGTAGAAATTCAAGAGACAAATGCTTTCTTTGTTAATACTTTTTTTATCCTATGCAAAGAAAATCCATCGTGGCATCCCATTTTATACTGTGTGTGTATATATATATATGTATATATAAAAGTAGATACATGAAACTAAGTATGTGAAAGAAGCTGATGAAAAAAGACGGTTTCTCATCCTGCCACCCGTTTCTATCTCCGCTTCTATACTGGTGACACTTTCTTTTTATCTTTGCTGCCACTGTCCACTCTTTCCTGGGCGGAATTCCACCTGGCTTTTTCCTTCTCCTGATTCTCCAAGACCATGGCTCGCAGGTTTTTATGGTCTAGCGGTTCTGCTGTTGGGAAAGGAACGAGAAGTTCAGCGGGGTTAGTTTGGAGAAGAGGCGTTTTCTTTCTTTTTTAAAATCACAGTTTCAGTGAACCACCATGTTTACGCAGCATGAACACAACACCTGCTTGTGTTCTCCCCACCCTGAGGCTCTTTTACTGATTAACTTGGTTTTTCTTATTTTTCTTGAAAATGTCTTTGGGAAAACTCAGGGAAATCAAGAAAAAGCTTGGCGGAAAACAACTTCCTGAGACGTTGATCAAAGAGAATTCTCTCTGCCCTTCTAAAAACTTCCAAGCCAGTCTTGAATAGCCAGATCCTCATTCGTGCTGGCTCCAAATTTTGCACAGCCCTCTCTTCTTCCTGCAATTACTTACTAGGCTCGCCCAGGTCTGCAAAGGGATCCACGCTGAGAGAAGGCGGAGCCACTTTAATGGTGTCGATTTTGTTCAGAAGAGCACTCCCGCCCAAAAAGGGATTTAGCAATGGGACGGTGTCCAGCTCCCCTTCGACTTCCTTGTAGCGCAAGAAGGATTCGATCAGCAAAAGGTCGTTGCTTTTCTTTTCGATAATGCCTGCGGAGGGAGGAGCAAAGGCACCCTGAGGGTGAGTGGGGGATGTGCTTCACATCTCACGCAATGCACAAAGAAAACTGGCAGACAAAGGGGCTGTTCTGATTTGGTAGGTGTGACTGTTAGTTCTGGAGGGTTTTTTCTTAGATCAGGTTTTCCCAATAAACTCCGTTTAATACCGATAAAGTTGGATTAAAAAGGGAATTTCTCATTAAAACCTTACGTACAAAGACTACTTAAGCTATAAGACAGTGTTTCCCAACCTTGGGAACTTTAAGAAGTGGACTTCAACTCCCAGAATTCCCCAGCCAGCGTAGAAGTTGAGATCCACACATCTTGTAGTTCTCAGGGCTGGGAAACACTCTAATAAGAGGAGAGAAATCCCAGATGGAAGGACTAAGACAAATGAGGGAATGTTGGTATGCTTTACCTGACCGAAGACAGCCTCTTATGGAAGGTCTCCATTGGTCAGTTTGTATTATTTCCTCTCCTAGCTTGTCACACCTACACACAGGAAGCCTCTAGGAAACCTCTCTAGGAAAAAGGCGATTCACTCACTGAAATACTGCATCAGATTCTGATCCGTGATCTCCCCAGTTTCTCCCAGATGCTGCGTGATCGTGGTGGCATCGCAGCCGATCTGCTTGAACAGGAAAGCCACTGCGGATTTCAGCTGGTCCAAGATTTTGCTGCTCTCTTTCAGATTGTAAGCATAGAGATTGGCATTTTCGGTGGTCTTCTGCAGCTTTTCCTGTGGGCAGAAAAAGAGGCTGGTGGGGCTAGAGAGACGGTGAAAGTAGAAGTATTACCAAGCCCCCCCATCTCCCCCCCCACAAACACATCAGTTCCACTACATACCTCCATGCCTTTCAGACTGCCATAAATTATATTTTCAGCTGCCTTCTGCTGGGATTTCAGATTGCTGATTTCGTTCTACAAAGTTCAGAAATTCAGAAACACATCATTTTGGCCTTCAGGCCGCTTATGACTTTGCTAGGTGTATTTCCAAAAAGGGCCAAGTTCAGAGGATTCATTTATTTAACTTGGAAGGCTGCTTGACTCTCTAATGACCCTGGCCAGTTTTATATAATGAGAGAGGGTTTAAAAAAAAAGTGAAAGGAGAACAGGATAAGTATGCTCAGTTAAAATCACAGAAGGAAGGAAGGAAGGAAGGAAGGAAGGAAGGAAGGAAGGAAGGAAGGAAAAAGAGAAAAGAGAAAAGGAAGGGAAAGGAAAAGTAAAAAAAAAAAACACCTCCCGGGGGCTCAACAAACTTCCTAACCCTCCAACACTTGTAATCAGAGAGTGGAATTCTGATTTGTAGAAAAGCTTCAGAGAATTAACCCAGGTGGATTTTGCTGCAGTCTCTCCCCAAGCTGCATGGAGGCAGGAGTCACCCAGGTTTGCCTATGAAAAAGGCTTTGCTTTTTAAAAGGGGCCCTTCATACTTATTGGAAGAAGAATCGCTGAGGTGCAAAAGCTCAAGACTCTGACTATGGAGATTCTCAGTCACCCAGGTCACGGATGTCCCAAAGGTGCTTTTTTTCAAGAGGCAACTGGACTTTCTGGTTTTTTCTTTTGAAGACGTTTCGCTTCCCATCCAAGTTGGAGCTGAAGAAATTTCTTGCATGGGAAGCGAAACATCTTCAAAAAAAACCCCAGAGAGTCCAGCTGCCTCTTGAAAAAGCACCTTTGGGACTCAAGACCCCTCCAAGTGCCAAGGAAGTTGCCCAGAGGCGCTTCTGAAAGGAGAGGTGGGAGGAGGAGAAGGAGCCCACCTGGACTTCTTCAATCCTCTTCTGCAGCCTTTCCATGTCATTGTTCAGTTCGGTGACGTAGCTGAAGTAGGCAAAGTTCTTCCCTTCCTTCTCCAGGTAGTCCTCCACCAGCTGCCCAATGTCCCCGTTTTCCGTCAGCTTCATCAGTCGCATGTAGGCCACCTCGTAGCTCTCAAAGCTCTCCCCTTTGGACTTGGCCCGCTTCTTGGCCTTTAGTGCTGAGAGAAAGTTGGGCTGGCTCTTTAGAATACGGAGCCAGTTGAGTTGATTCCCCTATCAAAAAACTGACCACCTAGCCAAAAGAATGCCCACTGGACATACACACCCATGTCCAATTAAATAAGGAAGTTTTGCTGTGTCTGCCGTACGGATTAATAGGTTTCGCATCCATTTTTTTTAGAGAATCCTCTGCATAGGTGTGGATAGCATGATTGCTCAAAAGTTCATCACTTGCAATACCAGGCAGCACACGCTAACCTTCGTGTGTGTGTGTGTGTGTGTGCTTTTGAGTCATTGTTGATTACTGGCAACTGGCTGGAAAAGTCCCTGAGTTTTCTTGGCAAGATTTTCAGAAGTGGTTTGCCCCTGCTTTCTTCTTCCCAGGCCTGAGAGAGAGGGAGGGACTCGCCCAAAGTCACCCAGCTGGCTTAGTGCCTGGTAGGACTAGAACTCCTGATCTCCTGGTTTCTAGCCTGGTGCTTTAACTACACCACCAAACAGGCTCTCAGGAATGGAGAATATTGAATTGCTGTGTTTTTCAATCCTAGTTTGGGAAGATCCAATGTATCTGGGGGACATCAGATGAGGGACCTTTTCTTCTTGCCTCAAATAGCATTCCCACCCACCCCCCTGACATTGGCATGAACCGAGTGGCAAAATGGTACCTTCATCCTTTTTGGCCTGTTCCTCAATTTCAGAGCGGTCCACCAGTTTGATGAGCATGAATGCCTTCAGCTTGGTTTCGTGGTTATAGATTCGCTCCAGCTCCCGAAACTCTATGTTGAACTGGGCAATATCCTTGGACCGCCGTTCGTTCATGGCAGAGATTCTTGCCAGGGCTTCAACCCTAATAAGAAACAGAAAAGCAGAGAGGATAGATAGATAGATAGATAGATAGATAGATAGATAGATAGATAGATAGATGGATGGGCGGGCAGACAGACAGACAGACAGACAGACACCAATTAAGGAACAAACCAGGTGGCAGGGTTCTAGAGAAGGGCATTCTATTGCTTTGGGTTGCAGTTTATAAATGTCCTTTTTAAAAGCTGCTCTACATGATTAATACTCTGCAAGTTTTGAAAAGTAAAGGATGCAAGGAGACCTGTTTGCTTATTCCTTGAAATAGAATCCGTTTTATATCGGCAGAGAGAATTTGGGTTGGGGCAAAGAAGACATTGGAATAAGAGATTGCCCTGCCTGCCTTCGGTCATCCAACAATTAGCATTTTCCATTTTGTTGCAGAGAAGCATGTATCCCATCTTTAAAAAAAAAACACCTTTGTTTACAGAGAGATCCTCCATTAGAAGGGCAATCTCAAATTCGCCCAACAGTCAAAGTTGCAGTCCTGAAACTGAGCAGAGGGTTGCACCCTTGGTCCTCCTCCTCCTCCTCACCTCTGCTCGTAGGCTTGTGTTGACTGCTCAATGGATGCATTCATGGTCCTCTTTTGCTGCTCAAACTTCTTGTGAAGCCGTGAGTAGATGCCTTCAAAAATCGCCTTCTGGCACTGCAGGGTTTCTATTTCTTCACGGAGCATGGCATTTCTGGTCAAGATAGTGTCAAAATGTACCGTAGCCTGGAGGTCAAAGGTTAAAATTAGGAAAGGATCCAGGACGTTCTAAGGCAAGAGTTAACAATGTTTCTCAAAGTCACGGAGAAGAGCAGCCAATAATGACGAAAGTTAGAAGAAGGTGGAATTTGCAGAAGGCATCGTTCCTTTCTTTCTGCAACCCTCCATGTCTTTATTCCTTACTGACACCCCCAAATTCATGAAGTAGAAGGGATTTACAAAGGGGAGGAGGAGGTTTCAACATCTGAAAGACAAACTGATGCTGAAGTTAGACAAAATTAGGCCACAGTTCCCTGTGGTTAGCAGAGTCCAGATTCCAGTCCTAAATGTATTTTTAGGCACTCAAAAGGGAAAGTTCAAAAGAAGCCATGTTATTTTATGTTCACCATCATCTGTTATACCTGATGGTTCTAAATTTGGGGATTTTCTGCCCCCTCAAGTTTATTTTTAAGGGCTGCCATTGTGGTTCTTATTCCAACTGTTCCCCTCAAGGTGGAGACAGAGGCTAATTTCTCCACCAACAGGAAGATTAGCAAGTCTGCAAACTGCGACTTACATGATTGAGCCGGTTGTCCAGTTTGTGAATTTGCTTCTGAAGCCACTTCCCATCATACTCCTGCCTCAGCTTCATCATCAGAACTTTTTGGGTTTTAATCTTTTTTTCCACCTCTTCTATCTAAAAGCAGAGGGAGAAACATCTCAAAACTCCTCTACTCATCCAAAGAAGACGGTTGGAGGGAAACAACGAATAACTGCAGTGCATTTGCTCATATAATCTCTAAAAATCTGATGCTTAGTTGTGTACAGGTAGTCCTTGACTTACAACCGTTTAGTGACCGTTCGAAGTTACAAGGGCACTGAAAAAAGTGATAGGTGACAGTTTTTCACACATACAGTACGTCTGTAGCCGGATCCCCATGGTCACGTGGTCAAACTTCAAATGCTTGACTCATATTTATGAAGGTTGCCGTATCCTGGGGTTATGTGATCAGCTTTTGTGACCTCCTGATAAGCAAAGTCAGTGGGAAAGTCAGATTCACTTCACAACATTATTAATTTAACAACTCCGGTGATCCACTTAACAATGTGGATCATTGCAAGAAAGGTTGCAAAATGGTGCAAAACTCACTTAACAAACATCTCTCTTAACAACAGAAATTTGGGGGCTCAATTGTGGTCATAAGACAAGGATTGCCTGTATAAGAAGCAATTCCTGCTCCAAGCAACAAAAACAGAGCAAAGGAAATTGAGATTCAGAGAGCATCAAGAGAGGACAACAGAACAGAATTTCCCCAAATGCTTTTTTTCCCCCTTTGCTTAAGACTCTACAGCTGGCAATCCTGGAGTTTATGGCCTCTTGGCTTTCGAACTGGAGACGGTGTTTGCACAAGGATTAGGGCATGCTAAATTAGTTTTGATTCGCAGGGAAAATGTACCAAGGAATCAAAAGCAGAAGGCACATGTTTGGGGAGATAGGAGGAGAGCTGCGAATCTCACGTTCGTTCGCTCGCTTGCTTGCAGGCTGTCTATCGTGCTTCACAACCCCCGCTTTGTAAGTGGCACATTCTCCCAAAGCACCTTGTCATCAAGTTCTGCAATCAAATTTTTGGTGGCTCTGATGAGAGCATCGTATTCGTCTTTGGTCTGCAGAAGGAATCTGAGCTCCATGAAGTTCCGGTCATCTATGAAAAGGTGGTGGGGTGATTTGGTGAGAGTCAGCAGCAAATTAATCGCATCGTGTTCTTGTTTCAAGGCATGGATGTGTTTTCTGTAAAGGAAAAAGAAGGCCTGTATCCAAAGGTGCTCAAACATTCCAAACAAGGCTGGTAAGGTGTGAAACCCTAAACCACCGATTATAAGCTAGAGGGGCTTGAATTGGGTATGTCTCGTTTAATGAAAAGAAGGACTAGGGGGTGACAGGATAGCAGTGTTTCAGTATCTCAGGGGCTGCCCCAAAGAAGAGGGAGTCAAGCTATTCTCCAAAGCACCTGAAGGCAGGACAAGAAGCAATGGGTGGAAACTAATAAAGGAGAGAAGCAACCTGGAACTAAGAAAAAATTTCCTGACAGTGAGGACAACTAACCAGTGGAATAGCTTGCCTTCAAAAGTTGTAGGTGCTCCATCACTGGAGGGTTTTAAAGAAAAAGTTGGACACCCATTTATCTGAAATGGTATAAGATTTCCTGCTTGAGCAGGGGGCTGGACTAGAAGACCTCCAAGGTCCCTTCCAACTCTGTTATTCTGTTTATGCCCTAAAGCACAGGTCATGATTAGCCCAAGGAGTCAACTGACCAATGTGCAAAGATGACTTAGACAGATTTAAACAGGAGCAGGTATGTTTGGCATTCACTTTTCTCAGCCAGCAGAACATGTTATTGGCTGGCATATATCAATGTGAGCCATGCACATACATGCCCAGCCACACACACACACACACACACACTATGGCAGCTCCTGGTTCATCTCGTTCAGACTTACTCCTGATGGAACAATTGTTGCTGTGTTTTGAAACCAAGGGACTTGCGGCTCTCCACCATCATCCGAAACTGTTTCTGCAGTTTCCTTAGTTCGACTTCTGCCATCATCTCCTTTTCCTTCTCAGTATAGTCAGAGTTTTCACTCCTGGAATGAGATACTCTCCGGCGCTGCAGGGGAGATATTTTTAAAAGAAAAAGGTGTTTGTCTTTTAAGTGGGCTTATGTTTCTTTTGGGATTACAATTTCCCTTTTCCCCAGGGAAGCTGTTTCCCTTCATTCAGTGTGAAATAAAGCAAAGTTATTCCATCGGAATCAACTATTAATTTCCCCAAAACCTACACAAAGGAGGGGTGCATTGTTCTACTGTCATGACTAACCTAGCAGAAGAAACATTGTGCTACCATAACTTGCAGGGGAGGGGGAGAGCAGTTGCGGTTTGCAATACTTGACCAAATGGGATATTCAGCTCATCGGCCAAATCAAATACAAAAACAGGAGACATGATTCAGACTGTGCAAAGGCATCTGCACTTCACCTTTTCTGCAATTCAAACAAGTTCTGCTAACCACAAATACAGCAATGGAACACGTTAAGCAAGGCTGCCTCCTTTACCTAAAGGCCTGCTCAGACTGCCTGGCTTTTGCCAATATGCTCTTGACTGGGGCAGACGGACAGACAAAAGTGTTTCTCAACCTTGTGAACTTTAAGATGGGTTGACTTCAACTCACAGAACTGGCTGGGGAATTCTGGGAGTTGAAGTCCACCCATCTTAAAGTTCACAACGTTGAGAAACACTGAGATAGAAGATGATAGATTGGATGGATGGATGGATGGATGGATGGATGGATGGAGAGATGGAGAGAGAGAGAGAGAAACAGAAGGTATTCCTAAACTAAATCGAATCCAGTCTAGCTTTCATAGGAGGTGGGGGGGAGCGCTCTCTAAAATGAAACCAGCAGCCAATAGCATTTCAAGACTGCACAATAAGGCAGCTTTCTCCCACACGGTGCCCTTCACATGCGTGGGATGATAACTCCATCAAGCCTTTTCTTGCACTGCCTGGAACGATGGGACTTAAATGCACCTCTTGAAGGCAGCAGGTTGTCAAAGGCTGCAAGGAGATGGGCCCCTTGGCTCAGCCGTCTAAAATGAGAACCAGGAAGTGGGTGGTGGCAGCAGGCAGTCAGGCTCCTGTGCCATGGCTAAGCGACGGCAGACAAGGTGCAGACTCTACCATTACCCAGGCTTAACGATAACAACCGTGTTTACCAGCGTCTTCATGTTTGCCTGGATTAAGACTTGGTGCTTCTGTTAAGGAAACCAGGTTAATCCTTCCCAAAACGAAACCTGAAAAAAAGTTAACGAAGAAGTTTTCCTTGGAAAAGTTTCTATCATCCATTTGCAAGCAAGACATCTCCCTGGACCTCTGTTCCACATCTCTTCTCCTCTCTTTTGGTATGGGACAACATGCCCAGATGGTTTCCTCAGCATATTAAAAGAACATTGACATGATGTCATCTGAGCCATGTTCACTTAAAATTAGGGGGTGGAACAGATGGCAAAGCTCTGTCCAAACCCATTCAGGACTGGGGTTTCCATAGAGATAACAAGAGAGCACACTGAAGCACTGTGCACTCTCTGCTCTCATCTCTCTGGAAACCCACACACCAAATGGACCGGATGGAACATTCGGAGAGGTCTGGGAATGATGAAGTTCAGCCAGGATGACGGGATGGCAAAGAAAGATCCAGCCCCAGAGAGAGAAATTGGCAGCTCATTTGAGTCTGCGTCTTCCTGTCTGATCTGGCACGGTTCACACACTTCCCTTAAGACCTTGCCTTAAACTCATCAGGCTCCAGATGAGCTTCTGTTTTTAATTTAAAAATCAAGTATTTTTTGAAACATGACTTTGAAAAAAAATCAGTAGATTGAAACAGATGGGACAAATTTGTGGAACCAGAAAAAGATGGCAGACTTTAGCAAGAGCCACAGCTGAATGGCAAGTGCTCAGTCTAGACTCAGAAGTTCACACATTCATCACCTCTTGTTAGTCCTGAATCGGACTGAAACAAGATGATTCAAGAGATCTGAAGCCTAAATGGATCCTTTCCATTATTTATTTACCTTATTTTATTTATTCATCAAATTTCTATACTGGCCATCTCACCTAAGTGACTCCGGGCAGCTTACAAATAAAAGCCCTGGAAAGCGACATAGCTGAAAACAGTATTAAAAACAGAGGTGGAAAGTTCAAAGTTACAGAGGTTTGGAAAGTAGACCCCCATGCCAGTTGGCAGAGTTAGAGCCTGATGCTTTTCCAGAAAGTGGGGAGAGTGGCCCTCTATGTTCCAGGACATGGCTTCCCTGTAAGGTGTAGCAAACTGGCATTGCAAGTGCAGATACCTTTCTGTTCTCCTCCAACTTTCAGAATTGAATGCAAACTGCTTGGGGCGGAGAACCTGCCTTAAACCGCTTCGGGGGGGAAACCGGGGTACTGAAGTCCATTAAAGAGCATCAAAGCAGACAGGGAAGCCATGCGCAAGAAGACAGAAATCGTGACTAAGCCGGAGCTAAGGAATACGCGTGCGCCAAAGTAACCTTCCTAAAACCACCCACAGTGTTTTTCCACTCCCGGGCGCTGCTATCCCGGCGTCTTGGCGACCCCGGATTTCTCCTTTTCCTTCAGAAAGTGGGATCCGAGCAGGGGAACCCCAGCTAAGCCGCAGGTTCTCTCCGGAGCCTCAGGTTTGGCTGAGTGGAACGCGCGGACCGCGGCTGATTCCACGCACAATGCAGGGGCTCTTTATGAGCCGGCCGCGTCCCATTGGCTGCGCCGGGGGCGTTCCAGGGAGACCCGCGCCCGCCCCTTCTTTTCCCCCCTGGACAGGGGCTTAAGCCGCAGGAATTCCCGGCAGGAACAGCTCCACGAACAAGGGCGATGTTAGAAATGAAGGGTTTTGGGAAAGCCGTGAATAAAGACGACATTAATTTGGGGGGGGGGTTTCGGCGTGAATGACCCTAACCCCAGCGATTCATGGAAACCTTGAGTTAAGAGATCGCCTGACTAGGTGGCTCAGTGGCTAAGACCCTGAGCTTGTCGATCAGAAGGGTCGGCGGTTCAAATCCCTAGTATAGGTCTCCTGCGTGAGCAGGGGGTTGGGCTAGATGACCTCCAAGACCCCTTCGAACTCTGTTCCTGTTACTGAAATCATGTTTCTCCACCTTTGGCAAGCTTGAAGATGGGTGGATTTCAAATCCCAGCTATGCTGGCTGGGGAATTCTGGGAGTTGAAGTCCACCCATCTTCAATCTTCGAACCGAGACTGAGAAGCGCTAATACTCAGGCAAGGCACACAGGTGTTGTTTTCTGTAGCTGTATTTGCGATTGACCACAAACTACGGATGCAGTGAGTTCTCATGGTGCCACGATAGCAAATGAAAGGTGTTTTCCCCAGGCTCAAATTAAAGATTGTTTAAAGATTATTTCTTGGTTGGGCCATTCTGATTATATTTTGCAGATGTTTGGGAATAATTTCTCCTATCTGCCTCCCCCCAGAAGCAGAAGTTAATTTGCTTCTGTTTGCTAAAACAAAAAACAAAAGCAAAAAAAATAAATAAAAAAAACACCCTTCTGAGGCATTCTTCATTGTGTCCAGATTCTATGGGTCCTATTCTCCATTGTCTATCAGCTGCGAAGGAGCAGTCAATGAAACCGCTGGGAAAGGAATTGATGCAGTCCAGCCTCTTTGTCTGGGTCACAGGCAGCACTAGAGAAATATTTGCTTTGACCCACAGAATGGCTTCCCTTTTCCCTTTCAGCCCTGCAGGGCTGTTGCTTGAAAATGGGTGCAGCTCGCGTTTGAGTGGGTTTTGGGGTTGCTACTCAACAATATAAGAAATGAGCTGGCTGCCCTGTGACTTGCCTTCCAGAAGTTGTGGAGGCTTCAACACTGGAGGTTTTTAAGAAGAGACTGGACGGCTGATTGTCCTGAATGGCATAGGGCCGTGATGGCAAACCTATGGCACGCGTGCCAAAGGTGGCACACGGAGCCATATCTGTTGGCACACAAGCGTTGCCCTAGCTCAGCTCCACTGTGTATGCACGTGCCGGCCAGCTGATTTTTGGGCCTTCTGGAAGTTGGGAAATGGGCTGTTTCCGGCCTCTAGAGGGCATTGGGGGGGGAGGCCTTTTTCGCCCTCCCCAGGCTCCTAGAAAGCCTCTGGAGCCTGGGAAGGATGAAAAACAGGCCAACTGGGCCCACCATGCCATCACGTGCCAAAAGCATGGGGAACGTGGGGGGGTCATGTGCACATGCGTGGGGCACATTGAATTATGAGTGTGGGCACGTGTGCATGCGACTCCCCCACGACCCCCGCAACTCACCCACTTTTGGCATGCGACAGCAAAAAGGTTAGCCATCACTGGCATAGGATCTCCTGCTCGAGCAAGGGGTTGGACTAGAAGACCTCCAAGGTCCCTTCCAACTCTGTTATTCCGTTAACACACCATACTGTGGCTTACCGTAGTACAAGATGGGCAGTCAGGGTTTTTTCCCTTTTCAAGGAAGGATCAGCACTCTGGGCAGCTCCCATTTGTCTCTGCTGCCTGAACGCTACAGAAATATTACTTATATTATAGCAATAGTCACATACTTTAGCAAACTACGGTTTACCGCTCCAATGGTTGTCTGTACATGCACATTGGTTTGCATTCATGCACTGCATCAACCCCACAAGAGAAACCACGTATAACTATGTTATGTGAATCCAGCCATTGAAGCCCACGTTGGATGACTTGCGGTAATGTGAACCAGTGTGTTAAGAGTTTTTCAATAAACCACAGGTAGGAAAGCCAAGGTTTTTGCATAATGCATTAAGCTAGCATCTAGGCATTACTTAAGATCAGGTGTTCTTGGGAAGACTGTGGATTTCCTATTTTGGTAAGCAATCTTATTTCCCTGGCTGTTGAGCTCAGCAGACCTCTTCTGCATAAACATGTTTTGGATTGGACTATTAAAAGCTCCGTACTACCTCTTAAATTACAGCCTGCCGCTAACCACAGATTGTGGAATCCTGCCAGGAAAATCAGGTTGAGGCAGGGAGTTCTCAATTCAGGAGGCTGCAGTACCACCACCGGTTGCCTAGCAACCTGGATGCAAATTCCCATCCCGTCAGAAAGCATTTGTCTTTCCAGCAACGACTTGGACATGGGAGCTCAAAGGGGAGGATTGGGGGGGTGGGGGGAGCTAATGAGGTGGCTTTAAAAAGGCAGCTCCTACGTGATCTTCGGGGAGTCTCTTGGAGGCAGGGAATTCACAAGCATTAAGAAAGAAATGCTTTGTTGTTGTTTTTTAAAAAATGAACTAAAAATGGCACAGCACAAAGGTGTTCTATCACAACAGTTGCAGGAGAGCACTGAGTGAAGAACCCTCCGAAGTAAATGTTCTGGTATTCAGTATGGTAGGACTAACTCTCACAAAGTGAACTTTAAAAAAAATATCCTTAATAGTGAAGATGAACGAGACTTTCTGAAACAAGATGGAAACATCTCGTGAGGCTGCCGCTTGCTGTAATAGTTGGATATCTGCCTTCTAACGTAGAAGGAAGGTCTTCCGGTCAACATCCTATATCCTCAGGTAAGCTGCGGTTGGCCCCGAGAGCTACAGCCGGCAGCCTAGATCAGTGTTTCTCAACCTTGGAAGCTTGAAGATGGGTGGACTTCAACTCCCAGAATTCTGGGAGTTGAAGTCCACCCATCTTCAAGCTACCAAGGTTGAGAAACACTGGCCTAGATGAATGCACGGTGAACTTGGGGCAGGCAAGGCAGCCTGCCAAATTAATAGATAATTAAATAGTGGGATATGGTATTTTGAGACGGATGACAATTCACTGTGTGATGACTTGAAAAGGACATGATAAAGGTTGCCAATTGTGTGCCTTTGAGTACCAAGGCCCAAAGCAAGAGGGAAACATGCTCTCTTCTAGGATGCCACACTGCACAAACGTTTGCAATAGGCGGTTAGCTATTAAATCTCAGCCTGTTATATAAATCCAACAGCTGTGGTTTGTTAACCATAGTTTGCGATTGAGCACAATGTATACATACCCCTGGCCATTCTGTCTTACTTAACCAAGATGGATAAAATAGTAAGCTGGTTTAGCAAAATGTGTGACTCTTAGCAGGACATTGTGGGGGGAAATGAGCCCAGTCAAACGGCTACCTAGTCTGATCCATGGTTCTAAAGACTGAAACAGATTTTGGGAGGATGATATCACCGTGCTTAGAATCCCTCCTAGTTTGGGTCTAAAAATGCAGCTCCTACAAGGTTCCTCTGGGAAAAACATGAGATGGTTGACAATGACTCACACATTACCATTTGAACAGACAAGAGCACCTTTGTGAGAATGTGTCTGGGGCAGTTTCATATTTATGCTTGGCCTATTTCCTTCCATTCAGGGTTCCATTCAGAACAGATGATCTACTCCGATAATGCCTTTCTGGTCTTTGTGTTTCTAACCCCCTGACTGGTTCTTGCTGTTCCATTAATTGAGATTAATGTCTCAATCAGTTTCATAAAAGTGCAAATGTTGCTGGGAGATGAATCTCATGTCCATTGTGGCTCCAGATGTATTTATTTTGTCCTGCAATTAGCTGATTTGTCAAAGCAGCTGCCAAAATGAAAGCTCATCAAGAAGTGTATTGCTATTGTCAAGACTGGCTTTTGGGAGAGGGGCGAAGTTTTTAAAAAACATTTCACACTTTTGTTGGATATTTTAACTATTTCAGTCTGCCCAACTAGGACTGAATGAATATTAATTTTTAAAACTACTTGTTGCTTCTTACTTTCCTGAAAAATTTAGCTTGACGGTTGAGAGGTTAAAGACCTTTCATTAATTGGGGTTTCCAGACAGAGTTCAGTTTTAGTTTTAGTTTTTATTATATTTGTATACCGCCCTTCTCCCGAAGGACTCAGGGCGGTGAACAGCCATGATAAAACAACATACAAGACAAAATTTAAAAAAACATATTAAAACAATTCAATCTTTGGCCAAAATTAAAACTTCCAATTAAAACCATTTTAACCTACATCTCTTATTGACCTACATCTCTTATTATTTTTCCTAGGTAGGAGAGCTGCCAGTTGCCATTCCACACATCTTGGGGAATAAAGTAGGAGCAAGCTGGCCTATATTCTTATTGTGCACTTGGGTCTTTGGGGTCTCTTTCATACCAGAAAGCTGCACTGCAAAAAAAGAAAAGTATTTTTTTAAAAAAATGTAAGTCTCCCAACAGTATTTTGACTGACTATTTAAAATATGTTTATGTCACATCTTTCTTTCCTGTAAGTGGTCAGGACTGGTATCTCCTTAGGTGTTTGACAATGCCAGATGCAATTCACAGGCACCCTTCATATTTGAAAAGGGGAAAATTAGGACCGTCACAGACCTTCTTCTCCTTCAGAAGGCCACACTGGGTGGAGAGGAAAGTTGTCAAGCAGATTTAGGAATAGAACTATTATTTTCTGGTTTTAGCACACCCCAAAAGTGTTATATTTAGCTTCCAAGGATTTATGTAACATCTCTGACACATACTTTCAAAATGTACAAGCTGTACAAGCCATACTTCATCTCAAGATTTCATTTGATGGGTTTTATGGCAAGAGAATTCTCTCACAGTCTGGACTCTTCTAACAAGTCATCCTAATCTGTCTGGATTTCCAAAGATCTTCAATATATAATTGAGCCTCATTTTTTAATGCAAGTTGCAGTACCTGAACAATTAAGTGTCAATGATATCGTGGAATCCTGGCAAACTTTCTAAAGGCTGCAAGAAAGAAGGCATGGTTGCTGAATGTGGAAAATCCAATAATTCTGAGGGATGTGAAATATCAGTTTAGCAGAAGGAAACCCCTTCTGCTAAAAAGAGAGCAAAAGAAACAAAAAGAAGGTCATTTGATTCTGGGAAACTTCAGATAAAAAGCCAGTTTGACAAAAGGCTTTTGAAAAGATGCTTTGTTGTTAGTTGTGAAGTCATGTCCGACCCATCGCGACCCCATGGACAACGTTCCTCCAGGCCTTCCTGTCCTCTACCATCCTCTGGAGTCCATTTAAGCTCATGCCGACTGCTTCAATGACTCCATCAAGCCACCTCATTCTCTGCCGTCCCATTCTTCTTCTTTTGCCCTCAATCTTTCCCAGCATTCGGCTCTTCTCCAGAGAGTCCTTCCTTCTCATTAGGTGGCCAAAGGATTTGAGTTTCCTCTTCAGGATCTGGCCTTCTAAAGAGCAGCCAGGGTTGATCTCTTCTAGGACTGACCGGTTGGATCTCCTTGCAGTCCAAGGGACTCGCCGGAGTCTTCTCCAGCACCAGAGTTCAAAGGCCTCCATTCTTTGGCACTCAGCCTTTCTTATGGTCCAGCTTTCACAGCCATACATTGCAACTGGGAAACCATAGCCTTGACTATATACACTTTTGTTGGCAGGGTGATAGAAAAGGTGCTAGGAGGAAAGAAATAAGATGTGCTTGTCGCTGGATAATGAAAATACTGTGTAGATATCGAGTTGGGAGAAAATGCAACGTGTGTTTGTACTCTTGTCTTTCTCATTCCCTTGTTTCCGGGTATCAAAAAATCCAGATTGGCTGTGCCTCAAGATAATCAGCCTCATCCTGTTAGTAAGCATTTCAAGAAAGCTCTTGGAGAAGATTTTGATTCCAGCAGAATAGATATCAAAATATTCTCCAACCCCAGTTACTCATCCCAACTCATTATGCTTGGCCACACAGAGTTTAATCTTCATTAGATGAGTGCCTTCCCAAGACTTGGCTTGGCAGAAGATCTTGTGCTTTTTCCAATCAACAGGGTGGCTAAATCATTAGCCATAAGAGGTACCTCTCTTGAACTGATAGTTCTGGGTGCCTGGTTCTACTTAAATTGGAAGGGAGAGGACAGGAAGGCAGGCCTTGCCTCTATGAAAAGCAGCTACGGATTTTCTCTTCTTCATCAGTTCAAAGAATCTGTTCTTGCATATGCAATGATACCAGCTGACTGCCCAGGTGCTCTGGGTCCATATCCAGCTATCAAGATCAGATCCAGAGGAAGGCTGATTTTAGGTCTTGTAAGGAGTCATGGTTGACTGAGGACTTGAAGCCCTGTGTCCCTTCTGTTGCTGGGCGGGCAGCAGCCTCACAATCGTACTAGATAAACTGCAGATCAGAGGACGGTTTCAGTGAGTAGACAAAGATAAGGAAAACTGTTTGGAGGAGGAGAGCTCAGTTGTGGGCAAAACTGTGTTGCTGTCCTTTTGGAAGAAAAGTCTTTTCTGAGAGTTTTTTTAATCTTTTCTAAATTGTCAAATCAGACATGCCACCTCTGCCCTCCTAAAATTTATTTTCCTTTTACAAATCCTCTATCACAACAATAAAAATGATTATTGCTGGCGCACCCATTTAGATAAGAGTGCCTTCCAAGAGTACAACTGCATCAGGGACCGGGTTGTCCTGCCCTGCCCACATATTTTCTGTAGTCAGAATCAGTTGGGTGTTTCCAGTTTTTCAGTCTATTTCAGCTGCAATGAACATATACTTAGAGATGTTTGAAATAGGACAGCCTTACTGAACCGGGTGTGTTGCATTGTTCTCAGTTAGCCTTAAGTTCTTATTACTTGGTTCCAAATTATTGTGACTGATATTGCTGTATTTGGACGACCGACAGAATCACACACTCCATAAAGGAAAATGGGAAACAGCCAGTTTAGGATTTTCCCTTAGATTAAAAGATCACAAATACATAGCTTGAATGCTGGAACTTAGCTGTCAAAAATCAGATAACGGATTGGTGAAAAGAGCCCGAGGGAGGGGTTCTGTGGGAGAATGAGACAATTCAGCAAGCATCCCATGCAGGGAGAACCATATGTTGCAAGACACGCAGGAGGTTCACAAACCTGTATTTGCCGTATTATGGAAGGCCAGCAGGCGATTAATTTTCAGAGGCAGATTAATAAGCAGGCAGAGAGCATTTGATCCTATCCTTGATTTCCTTCCACCTACAGTCATTCTTAGGGGCCATTTTAATCTGCTTACTTTTATCCTACCTGGGCGACAGAACTGGGCGTAAGGTCTGGGGAAGGGAGGGGGGAGGGCACAGGTAGAGAGTTGCCTGGGAGAATAAGGAGGCAGAGGAAGATTAAGAAGTAAAGTTCTGGGGTAAATTCTGGAGGAGGGCAAACGACTGTTAGGCATTTGTAGAATGCCCATGAAAAACAGAACCTGCTGATCTACATCTGGCTGGCTGACATTCCGCAATAGAACACTTTGAGGCTGTGGTGTCTTGTTTGTGAACTGGAGGATCAGAAGCCACCAGCAGCTCAGCTTCCACTGTGATTAGCTTGATGCATTTATTAATACCAACTATTTGTCACAATGAATTTTGCATTGAAAGGACAGGAGTGGGGAGCTGATTTCCTGCCAAGGACTACATTCCTCTAGGAGCAATCTGTTAGAGCCTGCACATCAGAAGGAGGAAGACAGTGAGATGCCCAGAGTCACATGTATGAGATGGGTGGCTAAATAAATAAATGGGGAACAGCGCCCAAATGGGATACTTTTCTTTCATGATCTTTTCTGACACCCCATTTCTTTTCTGCCTGCCATTTCCTTTCCTCTTTCATATTATTTCTCCATCTGTTTTAGGCTTTAGCTGTTCTCACCCCTGCATGAGTTTAGACTGAACCCACAGGTGACTCACCCCTAAACTGAAACAGCAGGAAGTTTGTAGCCGCTGTTAGACTTGCTGAAGTCAGCTAAACTGATAAGAAGAATACATGCATATATTTATTGGTTGTATTTCTTTTGAAGAATGCAAATGGCTTTGGCACTGTCTTAGAAAACACATTTTAATTGCCGCTACATGTGAAGCTTGAAACTATAATCCCTTATCCGAGTCAGCACAATGTCAGATGAAGCTCAGACAGGCTGCCTAGGGAAATATATGTACCACTGAAGAAGGGGCAGTGACAGAGCACTTCCTTAGAAGCGAATGTGGGATGAGTATGAAAAACACACCCTGGGCCAGGCTGTCATATTGACTGGAATAAAGGAGGGAAGGCATATAGCTTGCATTTTCTGTGGAGTTGGTTATACAGCCAGCACCAGATCTTCCAATGCAGTTATGAAAGAGGCTTAGGATGAAAAAGCAAAGAAGATGAAAAGCTGACAATATCAAGTATCCCAGACTAGGGCTGGAGATATGCAAATGCAGACTGGAAGTTTCTGTTCTCTAAGCGCACAAATGGAGCAGAAGTCTTAATCCTGAATTGGAGAACGAATTCCAATTAAAAAAAAAAGCATTATTTGCTAAACAAGGACATGAAAGACATGGCATTATTGTGGTTTGAGCATAAGATCCCTGAGCATGCTGGAAAATCATGCCTCCCGGTTTGAACAGGTCTTTTTTCCCTACAGGAAAGAGAAGGAGGAGCTCAGCACTTCAATACGAATAGCCAGAAAAGGGATGGATACATTCAAATTTTTTTACTACCGGTTTCAAATTTTTTTACTACCGGTTCTGTGGGTGTGGCTTGGTGGGCGTGGCAGGATACTGTAAAATCTCCATTCCCACCTCACTCCAGGGGAAGGTTACTGCAAATTCCCCATTTCCTCTCGATCAGCTGGGACTCAGGAAGCAGAGAATAGATGGGGGCGGGGCCAGTCAGAATTTTTACTACTAGTTATCCGAACTACTCAAAATTTCCACTACCGGTTCTCCAGAACTGGTCAGAACTTGCTGAAACCCACCTCTGGACAGATATGAGAACTTTGTAAGAATGTCCTATGCACACATTTGTCTCTTTGCATGTGTGTGCAGGAGGGAGATACTGCATACATATAGGTAGGTGTATGAGCGTATATGAATATTGATTTATAGGCATATTTGTATAGAAGAATTTTCAGGAATACTTTGTTTCACCAGAATTCTTCTTTTAAAAAAATGGTATCTACTTTTTTCCTTCTGGACAAAAATATCCAATAACATTTAATCTTTGTCATCCTTTATGCTTATCACTGAGTAAACTTAAGCATCCATCTTTTATCTGCAGGGAAACTTGGCCAAAGACTGCTAAATTAAACTGATCGGTCAATGTCACTTAAGTGAGATCCTATCTAGGAAAGAAAGACCAAAATCTATCCAAAAAAAAAAAAAAGGTTTAAGAGAGCAACATCTCAAAAAGTTTTCTCCGTTCCTTATCATAAATATAATTGTTATTCTGGAGACTATTTCAAACATTATTCAGAAGGACACTGGGGGTCCACCCATGGACTCCTTTACACCTGTGCTCTTCCAAGCTTTGTACTTGTAAAGGAAATCCTAACTTCTTTGGTGTCTTTTAAGGAGTCATATTATTATCAAGCACTGCACAGTTACATCCCAAAAACAAGAATGCGTTTATCATGATCTGAATGTTAAGATTTATATGACCAAAGTGGGAAAAAAACAATTTGTTTGTTTTATAACTTACATTTTGTTTGCCGTTTCAGTCTCCAGCTCCTTCTAAATCAAGCTTGTCCAATCTGATGTTCCTCAAATACATTGGGACTGCAATTCCCAGAATTCCCATTCGGCGGAAACCAGATTACAAGTAAATCATACGCTGCTTGAAAATTCATTGGTGGCATCTGTTTGGCTGCAGCTGCAGAAGGGAGAGAAAGTGGGTTTAAATGGCCATTTTTCTCCTCTTCTCTTGCTGGTTCTAGTTCCATGTAAGTCAAAACCTGTATGATCTGCTGGTAGAACTATACTCGTTGTTGACAAAAATTAAAAACTACATCAGTTAAAATGGTTTAAATCTATTGAGAAATTGTCATTTTGAACAGCCTAGAATCTTAATGCAATTCTGAATCAATGAACTAAATGCTGACTCCACCAGAAGACGAACCTGAATTATCATTGATTTCCCCAAATGACATTAATAAAAATAAAAATGGACAGGAGTTGGCAGAAATTTAAGGCAAGCAACATGTCTTCTAGGATTTTAAAATCAAGGCTGTTGCTGAAACCAAATCTTTCCCTCAATTATATGACCTCCTGAAGTTATTGTACCTCAACAATTATTTTTTCTTATGATTGCTTTATGACAATTTTTTGTGGCGAGAGGGAGAGCAGTTGTGTTGTTTCTAAACAATTGAATAGTAAGTTACAAATGATGGTATTGTGACTTTCACTTTTGAAATACTGCTGGGGAAAATGCATTAATTTGTGCGGGGGGGGGAACCAATCTGGAAAACTTCTCAAAAGCATTTTAAAGCTGAGAAAAATATATGACATGTATTATACTAGAATGCAGCCTAGTGGTATATAAACTAGGGAATAGGCAAAGCACGAAAGAGACTTTCGTGGGTGTGATTGCTTTCTTTTTCTAAAAAAAGCACAGTACATGAAATGTAGAGTCACTGTCTGAACTTTGCACACATTTACAGTATAATATCGCACTAAAAAGTACATTAGCAATTGGAAGTATAATTGCAGAAGTATCCTAATTTTACAAAGTGTGTGTCTCATGGTCACATTGTAAAACTGTGGCTATTGCGTGACCATTTGTCATGTGCTGTTTCATGACCCTGCTGACCGAGAGTTGGATTTGGGGGACTTTGTGATGCTTCATCCATGGAAGGGGTTCAAATCTGCAAGAAAAGTTGATATACTGTCAACGAGGTGAGCTACAGACTGAACAGAATACTAGATCAACTCCCATGTTGATCACATGTATACTATATCACGTGTATTGGATCAATTCTCATAGTTCCTACCCAGCAACCACATAGAAATAAGTGGGGAGGCTTTCTCATGTGATAATCTTCAAGGCATTGGGAACAATTTGAAGGTAAGTGAATGACAGAAAGATGCATGCAACAGCATATTAAAAAGTCCATGAATGGCTGCAAGGTGCTCTCTCAGCTGAAGTTTAATTCAGGTATACTACTAAAATCTGCTCATTCGTGCTCATACTGTATTTTACATAACAGTTGCATCATACCTGAAGACCTGCCAGCCAGTTTATCCTAATAGAACAATGAAGAGGAAAATGTGAAGATGAAAACAAATAAAGACAGCCACTGCCAGAATAAATAACCATTATCTTCACATGTGTCATCACCAGCAGACTTACTTCATGAAAACATAAGAACATGGAAAGAGCACAGCTACATATCCCAGAATTCAATTGTCACTAATCAGATGTCTTGGGAAAATCCACAATAAAAACCCAACTACAATAATCCTTAGATTGGGTTCTTACACACTCTGCTAAGAAGGGAGCCAGTTATAAGGCAGGCCCCACGGTTATGACTAGCTCGCTCCTGGTTGTCCAGAGATTAAGATGGTATGAATTGTTTGAGACAAAGATAGTAAAATGGACAATTAGGCTTCAAATCTCAGCTAGCCTTCTCACTCATAATAATACATTTCATTGCCATGACAGTTCTTTTTTTTTTTTAAAGAGGAAATGAAAAAATTGGTCAACATAGCAAAAGATGGTCTTATTCAGAATTCTATTCAGGTTTGTTCTCTTCCATTTCCGTTATCCTCTTCCAATCCCGGTCCGTGACCACAAAGCAGGCTTTAGCCTTACTGGGAGGAAGAGGAAAAAGGTAAGGGAAGAGAAAATGTTCACCACTGAGTCTCACCACTTGAAAAAAAAAAAGTAGTTTCGTCTTGCATCACTTCCTGCCTCCTCAATTGTGCAGGAAAGTGTTGCCACACTAAGAGCTCTTAACAGAGCTGCTGTCACACTTTTGCCATTTTAAAAATGTCAGATGAAAAGGAAATGCATGTTCTTCCTGACTTTCCAAAACCTATTGCGCAGTTTTATTTTTCTGATCATTCATGCTGTCTGTTGGTGCTCAGTACACCTTCTTCTTCTTGTGCCATATCTGTCATCAGCGATCATGTTGATGATCCTATTTTTATCAACAGCCACACGAAAAAGTGCTGCTGGGTTTTGTCCAAACTGGTCTCTTAGATTTTGAAGCTACGATGTTCTTCTTTTGCCTTCAATCTTTCCTTGAAAATCTTTCCTCCTCAGTACATCTACAGAATTTCAATGTTTGGAATATCTTCCCAAGAGAAGCTTTGTTAGGATAATTCTATATATTCTCTTGTTTAATATACCTTTGTTCAATAAAGCCATATTTTGAATTTATTTCATAAAAAGCATACAGTGGCCATGACATAAATATGATGTCTACAGAATAATTTTAATCTGTCACAAATTAAATTACAGCTTAATTATTTTTTTACTGTAAGAGGCAGAAATGTGCCAGGATCTTCAGTAATCAGCAACCCAGTAAGACTACAAAAAACATCCACAAAGAAAAGAGAAATACAAAAGGAAAATTAAACAAACAAGCCTTTCCAAATTGGGGATTAGGAGAAGGAGGCAGCAGTGAAAGAAATGCAAAGCTAGAGAGCAGAAGGAATAAGGTCACTCTGCATTATTTAGCCAAATTGTCATTCAAGGCTTGGGAAATGTCAAGAGAGAGGAAGAAACATTGTTTGTGTGTGCCTAGTTTTGTCAAGCAATGCAAATATAAGAGATCAAGAAGGGATTTCCTTGGAATGCCTGCTCATTAGATCCCTTCGGTGTCCCAGAGAGTTCTTTGGGGGCAAACGGAGGGGATTTCATACATTTAGGATTCACTTCTGTACACAAAGTTCTCACCAAACACATTAGGAATAGAAAGATGACACTAAACTGCGAAACTACAAAAAGGGCTTGTGGTATTTTGTTTGGGTTTCTTTTATTGGCACAATTATAGCTTTGCAAAGGAAACTAAATTTTCTTCTCTAAGAATAACTCATTCCATAAGGCAGTTTTGTTAAAACTTAGTTGTTAAAACTTGCCTAGTCCTAAGGAATATTGTTGTTGTTTTTAACCATTTAGTCATGTCCAATTCGTGGTGACTTTATAGGCAAGTGTTCTTCATGCTATAAAGTCCCTAAAGGAATACTACTGCCTAATAAATAGGATGGTGGGATAATTCAGATAGAATAATATGCAAGAAACACAGCTAAATTACAGAACTGGAAAAAAAATAGGATATTAACATTTTAATATATTTAAATTTTTAAATAAGGTTGGGAATTTTTCTAGCGGTGACAGGGAAGATCCTGTTGGCAATAAGTACAATGAAGTAAAAAAAGTTAAGGGAACCTGGCAGGATAGAAGGAATAATTATGGGTACAATGACCTAGACAGCAAAGTGATATATTTTCTAGTGAAGGTGATTTTATCTATGGAAGAAGCAACTGGACTGCAGATCAAGAGGAGGAGTTATATGTGTCCCAGAACAAGGAAAGGAAGCTTTGGAACTCAGAATTAATTCAAATTTAACTAACGAGATGAGATGAAGATGGGGAGTGGGGGGAGAGAGGAGAGAGAGAGAGAGAGAAATTCCGATGACTTCTTATATTTCTTCTGGTTTGATTTAATTCCTATTGCCCAAACTTAATCCATTTTTTTTTTGTTATTTTAGGTAGTCATATTCTGTACATGGCGTATGATTTAACCCAGATGACCTCTATTTCCTTGGTACTGACTCTCTTCCTGACTTATTTCAAGACAAGATGACACTGCAGCTTTTCTCCAGCTCCCTGCCTCGGCTCAAAGTCTTACCAGTTCCACCACTGATAATGACATAGTTACAGTTAATGTTATTACATAATCGCCTCTGTGTTGCCTGCGCGTGTTCCAAAAATAAGTCCTCAGAGGAGAAATATTTACTTAATATTTAAAAACTAGAGTTGACATCTTTTGAGAAAAATGAAATAAAAACAAGTGCCCTATCCATTCAGGTAGTCCTAAATGCAGTAATTAAACCACATTTGGCCAAACATTAAAAACAAAAACAATTAAAACACTGGACATTCTTTCTCCTTGCCAATGAAATTAAATTAAATCCCCACTTGGTTGATTCTAATTGCTTTGAGGCTTTCCCGACAGATTTCTGCCACATCCCCAGCATAAGGCTATGAAAGCTATTCAGCAGTGGGTCAATTGGAAAGGACAAAATTTGGCCTTGACATCTACCATAATAATAGTACATACTAATAACCCAGTCACTCATGGACTGCCAATCCTCTATCCATGCATCAGAAATAGCGCTGGAAAGCCTCCCGGATGCTCGAAGCACCAAAATAAAATAGATTTATGGGGGAAAAGGTATGGAAGGAGGGGAAAGCCTCGAAATAATTCAGGAAAGATTAGGGATGTGCGGTGGCTGCAGAATCTGTGGGTGGGTGCGAAGGGAATACATGATGTGCTATACAGTATTAGTGCTGACTTAGGGTTTTGGAATTGAGGCTGGCTCTGCTTTCTATTGCTGATCTCCCATTTGCTCTTAAATTTTTAATCTTCCGGGCCCAGGCGATGCTGGTTTTAGCTGCTTTTAGTCTAGAAATGAGGCACATTTTTGGAAAAAAAGAGCAAGTTTCGTGCTGTAGCTTTCTGGATTTAGAAAGTCTCGATTCATGTTGAGCTTCGCGTAGGATAATGCAAAGACAAATATTCCTGCTTTAGTGCTAAATACTGCAAAGAGGGTCAATTCCAATTGCATTTTCAAAAACTAAATCCCTTTTACCTTTTGCTAAGTGACCCATCCCTTCTTCTCTAAAGGAAATGATGTTTCTGCACAGAAGTGCTGGGGGGGTTCCATTCCCTCAAAGGAGACAGAACTCTGTGCATTCTCAAGCATGTTCTTTCCTTTTTACTCAGCCTGTAAACAAAATTGTCATGGATATTTTTTTGGGGGTGGAGGGGGAGGTCACATTTGGGAAAATGGGTTGCAATCCCAGAAGAAAGGAAGGAGGAAAGAGGTTGTCCTTGTCAAATGGAAAAACCATTTTTTTTCCTGGAATCTAATATTGATAAATCTTGTCCATCCATCGATTTATTTAAAACAGTTCCCCTTTTTCCTTGCGACATCCTCCTGCTCCCATTTTGTACAGGGTGGAAACTACAAATTCTGCAACAAGGTTTGCAGTTGCGGCTACAACTTTTTGCAAGGGTTTTAATCTTATTTTAGGACCCCAAGACTTCCTGAACCTCCCCTTTTTTTTTCTCTCTCCCAAAAGGAAAGCTCTCTCCAGGGCTTTTTTCCCACTGTGGGGGAGCTTTGGCAGGTATGGCTGCGAGTTCTAATCCTGAGGACTTTTGCACCAACTCACAATTGATTTAATTCAGTCTCTCAGTTCAGCACCTGGACAGCTTCTCTCTCCATTTTTTTTTAAAGGCTTTTAGAGTTGGTGCACTCTGCCCTTCACCCTCAACCCCTTCAAGGTGATGGGAGGCTAAAAGTACAATATGGAGAACTCTGCACATGCTCAAGGGAACTCTTTCCTTTGACACCCCCTCCCCCAGTTGATCAATTATTAAAGCAGGACAGTCTTCCCCCCCCCCCCACCTCAGAGCAGTGTTTCTCAACCTTGGAAGCTTGAAGTTGGGTGGACTTCAATTCCCAGAATCCCCCAGCGAGTTGAAGTCCACCCATCTTCAAGCTTCCAAGGTTGAGAAACACTGCCTTAGACTAGGGTCCTGCCTGAGGCAGAACGCCATTCCTTCTCTCTCCCATCCCTCTTTCCCCTTCTCTCTGCCTCAGATTTCCGTCATTTCCCCCCTTTTCTTTAGCTTCTCCCCTCAGAAGCGCCCTGACAAAAACAAGAGAGAGAAAAAGATGGGGGGTGGGGTGGGGGACTCTTTTCCGTTCTCCTCCTCCCGCTCCCTTTCTATCATCTCCCTCTCTCTCTTCCCCAGGCGGAAGGATCGCGGGCGCGCGACTGAGTGAGGAGAAAAGAGAGAGAGCGCGCGCGAGCGAGCGCGCGAAAGAGAGAGAGCGAGAGCGCGCGCGCGGCCCGGGGTGGGAAGGGGAGCGAGGGAGGGGCAGAAAACGGGCGAGCTCTTCGCGGGCCTCCTTTCCCTCAAAGCTTCCCGCTCTTGACCCAGAAAGAAGTCCCGGCGGCCGCTTCCCCCGGTATCCCTGCGCCCGAAGGAGGTGACTGAGGAGAGGGGAGGGACGGGGCGGCCATTTTGTTCGCCGCCGTCGCCGGGGATGCTGCTGGGCTGCTGAGGCGGGCGCGATCGGCGCGGAGGAGAGAGAGAGCGAGAGAGAGGAGAGGGATCCGAGGGCCTCGCGGGCGAGAGGGTCGCGGTGGTGGGCGGAGGCGAGGGAGGCAAGCACCGGCGAGGGAGCCGGGGGCGGCCGCGGCGGCGAAGGAGGAGGAGGAGGAAGTCGACCCGGCGGGCTCCGGCTTGGCTCCTTCCCCAGCCGCGGAGAGGCGATGGCGGATATTGACAAGCTCAACATCGACAGCATCATCCAACGGCTGCTGGAGGGTGAGGAGGGGCGGCTCTGGCTGGGGAAGGGGCGAGGGGGGGGCGCCCGGGGGGGGGGGGGTGGGGGGGGGGGGGAAGAGGGGGGGGGATCTGCGCCCCCTCCCCTTTGGAGATCGGGGGAGGAGGGGGTGGCGCCCCCCAAAAAACACTCCGATTGGAGCCCCTCCCCCTTCAGGAGGGGTAAGACCCCCCCCCTCTCCAAACGACGCTCGTCTTTCTGCGGAACAATTCGGCGGAGGTGGTGGGGGGCGTTTGAAGATGTACCCCCTCCCCCAAATATACACCCCATCGGCATCCTCCTCTTTGCAGGCCGCCCCCCACTACGTTCTTCTCTCTGCCCTCCCCCCCTTATCCGAAAATCGGGGTTCCCCTCCCACGATTTGGGTGGGTGGGGGGAATCAGAAGCGCTTTGGACAAAGGAAGGCTGGGAAATGGGGAGGGGGCGGGCAGAGGGCGCGAAGATGACCCCCCCCACACACACACTTTAAAGAGGGGCTTTTTGGGGGGGGGGTTGAAAGCTGTTGGGGTGAAGAGAAGGGATGTTCAATGGAGGGAAGGAGAGAGCTGTGGGTGGGTTGAATGTAGCCTTCTTTACCTGGGGGGGGGTCTGTCTGTCTCTCTTTAATGTGTTTTATTCTCACCCCCCAATTTTCTATTATTAGGGGATGGATTTTAAGGATGTCCGGTAAGAGGATGGGAGAGGCTTTGCTGAATGATGTGAGGGGCAGGCAGTTAAAAGAGGTCTGAATCATTGGCCCAAATACGGTGGAAGGGGGAGAAAATTAGGGTTGTGCGTGTGTGCCTCGCACGCACACAAACACACTGAGACATATAAATAAACACGAGTACTGTATGTAATTAATGAAAAATGCAAAGTCAGGATGATGCAGGTCTGCTGTGCGTTACCCATTAGAAAAAAAGGGGTCAGGGTGTAAATATATTTTTTTACCTTCGCCTCTGATTTTGCTTAGAAAATAAGATGTGTTTTGGAACGTCTTTATAGGTCGTTCTTTGCAGGGAAACGGGGTTTATGTATGCCCGCCTCTGGAGATTCTCAGTCGCCCAGGTCATGGTTGTCCCAAAGGTACCTTTTCAAAAAGGCAGTTGGACTTCCTTAGGGGTTTTTTTCCCCCTTTAAAAATGTTTCGCTTCTCCTCCAAGAAGCTGCTTCAGATCAGAATTGAAAAAGCACCCTTGGGACACCCTCGGAATCAAAGAATCTGCTAGCTGGGTTGCAGTTTGGCATCTGTTGGGTTGCTGGGTTCTGCAACAAAGTGGGAAGTTGCTAAAGATAATTTTATTCTGGTTCTGGCTGGATCTATTTGATTCGAAGCCAGTGTGAAAACGTAGGCTCAGGAGATAACTTTGAGCATTCTCTCTCAGCTCAAGAACCTTACTTACTATGTTGTTATTATAAGAGAAGAAATTATAGGAGGGAGTGGTTTATATATTGGTTTGGGCTTTCTAGGGTGAGATACCATGAAGTAAACATAAATAAGAAGGGTGAAGGGTGAAGGGTGAGGTGAAAGTAGGCCCCTCTGCAGTGAAGGAAAAGCAGAAGAGTAGGAATGGAGGATTTCTGAGGGGGTGTGGAATAAACACCCCTCTTTCCCCAGGATCCAAAAGGTGAAATTGTATGTGGTTTTGATCTCCTTATCCTGTAATCCTTCTGCCTGGGCTTCATTGCGCTCCTTTGGTGAAGTTGTGAGAGGAAGGGAAGAAACCCTCCTGGAGGAATTGCATCCAAGATTCAGAGCCCCAGCGTCAGTCTCAATCTTTCAAATTGCCCAAAGTTTTTGAACATGATGCATTTTATACTTGGATGGTGGAACTCTTACGTGCCCCTCTAGTCTGCTCTTTCTTAGAATAGGAGCATAAGCAGTTTGTAGTGTCTGGTAGGCCTCTCTTTGTTTTGCCCTCTTTAACATAGGTGGAGTTTTGCTCGGAGGGAAGAGAGAGATTGTTGGTTAGCCCAGTCTTCCTGACACTGTGTGATTGCTGGTCCAGGGAATTATGAGGGCGTAAAAATGTTGCTCGCCCGCCTGTGCCCGTCTATTATGGCCATTAACTTTAAAAATAGGCCTGCTTCTTTGAGCTAGAGTGAACATTTTGCTTGCAAACAAATTACAGACTTAATCCAAGCATTATGACATCAGTGTGACATTTTGATTACTCTAAACTCCGGTGCTGGGTTCCAGGTGGCTCCTCTCATCTGAACAATTTGGCGGAGTGATCCCGAGTGCTTTTCCGGGGCACTTCCAAGATACAACATTCTGTATGTTTGGGGTATTTGTCTCCAGTTTTTGTTGCAGGAGGCTGGCCTTAGATTAAACTTGAGTTGGGTGAACAGACCTGATGACCAACATTCTTTCCAACAGCAGGCAAAAATTATAAGGCAGCTACTGGGTTGATCCAGCCTTATCCGAGTCCATTCTGGATTAATAACTCAATTTGGGAATTTAATTTCCATCCAATGAAAACGACTGTCTAAAATAATATGTACTGGGCCACCTATGTATCCTTTCTATGATGTTCCTTTCACTAATCCCTCTCCTTTAGGTTTGCTGAAAGACCATTGAAAGAGAGTTAGCAATGCAAAAAATGACTGGATTTGTAAATTCAAGATGTTTGATATTAGCCTAGATAGAACTTTTTTTAAAAAAATCAAACCTTCCAGTGTTATTAGAGCTGTTCTTGCATGCTTAGTAAAAATGGTTGCTTAATCATCTCTCCATTTGTTTAACAAATTTAAATTTCAGATGACAACAGCATGAGTTCACTATAGATTAATTTTTGGTGTCCTTTAATGCAACGTGAGTTTTAAATAGGCTGTGTACACATAACTTGGAGGGATAAACGGCATATTTACACCTCTATTATCTTCTATTAATAGAAATCTTATTGCTACTTAATGCTGCATCTCTACTAATATAATTTAAATTATGCAGCAATGGGGGAATTTTTTTAAAAAAATTATTTTCTCTTGGAATTGATTAGCTATAAAAGTATCTCTTTTTTTTTTTCCTTCTGCATTGGTCGTTTCAGCCCCAAATATGAAAGACTTCGGGCTCTAAAATGCATTTATCGGCATTTTATTCTAAACTGCATCTCTCAGCATCTTAGAGAAGGATGCTTCCTAATTGTGTGTTCTTCGAAGAGTTGCAATAAGATCTTGGGGCTTAGTTGTTGCTACAAAAAGAGCTGCAAAGCTTTAGCTCTCCTGCTTCCTTTCAGATCCAAGAAGAGGAGAATGAAAGTGCTGGCTTTTGTTCTGCAAAGTGCAGTTTCATATCATTTCTGAACTTTGGAAGGGTGGTATCGCTATGAAATATAATTAGAACTAAAAGCTCTCTGGTCTGTCTGCATGCTTGAGTTCTCCATATTTGGTTAATGCAGGGAACTCAAACTTTCAGCCCCACGGATATGATAAAAAGGGGGTAGTTTTGCACTCAGAGCAGCCAGTTTGATTTTCATTTCATAGCTGGAAAAGCTACAAGTTCTCAGACAAACATTAGTGAGCCTGTTCCAATCTAGACCTGGCTTTAGGCAGAGCCTACAGATTATTATAGATCTGTCCGATTAGATGGATACGTGGAGAGAAACAGTTCAGCCACCTATTTTGTATGACCAGAAAATCTAGTTATTTACTTGCTTATCAAGGCTAGTAGATGTATTGAATAGCCTTTTATCTCAAAACAACATATTTTAATCCTGTCTGGGCCTTTAACAACCCAGATGCAAGTGGGAAATTATGGGCTTCTTGTTAGAAGAACAGGCTTCCACGCTTTCTCACTATTATCTTTCTAAAACTCTTATTTAACCACAGATGACTAATAAAAGTGCACATTGCAAACTCTTTTATCCGGTGGTCTTTGCAAAGATGGACTTTTTCTTCTGCAGTTAACTCTGGCTAAATGTTATTGCGTGCAAGCCCCACGAGCCTGAACTCCTGCTTGACCAGGAGGTTGGACTAGAAGACCTCCAAGGTCCCTTCCAA